ACGCCATAAACAAGAGTGTCAAATTGTTAAGTCAACAACAGGAGTCACTGTGCACTTACTCCTCATGTAGGATCTCTGTCCTTAACGTGTTGTACATTGTGAATTAATGCTATAACTAGTACTCAAACAGTATTTTACACTTTGTGTTTCTGTGTGGGTGCAAACTGTTGAAATCTTTACTTAATATATGTTAAATTGATCTTCTGTATATAAAGAGAATTGAAAATGAATCTTGATCGGCATAGACCTGACTGCTAATGGACAACTTAATACATTATCCCTCATAGTATTTTTTTTGTCTGTTCTACTTAATATGACTGGTTTAATTCTGTAATTATCACACAGTTATTCTTAAGTGTTGAAAATTAACTGAAATGTGATCCCTGTTAAACATAAGAGTGGGAATAAGAGAGGGAAGAGATGTATAATTTGGGGCATGCTCGGGCTGACTTGCCCCAATTGGTAGAGTTGGAAACATACCAGGGGATTCCAATTCAATCCCATCAAGGTGGCATGTGCCAATGCCATCTCACTAGTCCAAGTGATCAATTTCAGTTCACAATTGATCATAATGAAAGGACTAAGAGTCAAAGGGAGCACATAAACAAGTCTAGTATCTGCTAACACCAACCGATAGAATAAATAAAGGGGAGAGTGATCCAACATGGGAAGTGAGATACTCAGCAGACTCATAGAATGGCGGATGTCCTAAATAGCACTCTGGCCTCAGAATCAGCCCTAAAGGCACTCGGATCTGGCTGAAAAGCCCATGAGAGTATTTCAGGCATGGAAAGCCAAGACACTCTGGCAAAAAGATCTCTGTGAGTGAGATCCCAGTGGAAAGAACAGGTCTTCAAAGAGGGAGGTGCCTTTCTCTGAAGGGAGGAGAGAACCTCCACTTTGACTATGACCGTGTCTAAACAAGATAAGAGTCGGAGAACTCAAGGGGCTTCCATAGCCTTGGAAACTCATGACTGGTGCATAGGGAGATTACTGATGCCATAAACAGGAGTGTCAATTTGTTAAGTCAACAACAGGAGTCACTGTGCACTTACTCCTCATGTAGGATCTCTGTCCTTAACGTGCTGTACACTGAGGCTTAATGCTATAACGAGTACTCAAACAGTATATTTCTATGGGGGTGCAAACGATTGAAATCTTTACTTAATGTACACTAAACTGATCTTCTGTAAAAAAAAAAAAAAAAAGAAATTATCAATTCCCAACTTGACTCTCACTGGGATTAAACATGACAATAGGTCTGATCTGATTTCATCATCATTTAAAAAAAATCATCTATTATTTTTCACTTTATGTTTCTGTGTGGGAGCAAACTGTTGAAATACTTACTTAAGGTATACTAAGCTGATCTTCTGTATATTAAGATAATCAAAAATGAATCTTGATGTGAATGGAAGGGGAGAGGGAGTGGGAAAGGGGAGGGTTGTGGGTGGGAGGGACGGTATGGGGGGGGAAGCCATTGTAACACATGAGTCGTACTTTGGAAATTTATATTCATTAAATAAAAGATAAAAAAAAATGAATCTTGATGTGAATGGAAGGGGGGAGGGAGCGGGAGAGGAGAGGGTTGTGGGTGGGAGGGAAGTTATGGGGGCGGGGAAGCCATTGTAATCCATAAGCTGTACTTTGGAAATTTATATTTATTAAATAAAAGTTAAAAAAAGACTATTTTGTAAAGTTCCAAACCATCTGGATTGACATTTTGTAAAATATGAGATGTTTTGTGAAATTCATATAAAAATAGAATTGAAAGATTCTTTGGTGCAAAAAGATTGAGACATATGCATTTTTTTTTCATATAAAACACATTTTCCATGAACTTTTAAAAGGTTCCTCATATAACAAAGATGCCACTGCCGTATCCAGTTGCTGTAAAGGTGTCCAGCAGTTGCTTTGAGTTTCGGCACTTTCTCATCATGGGCACGTAACAAACAATTCAGGCGTGGAAATGACCCTTCGAGCAGCAGCTTTGCTCCACTAATTGCGCTCTGTGTGTCCCCACTGCCAGCCGCCCTCTGTAACCCAGCTGGGAGCTCCCTGATGGCAGGGACTTTGCTCTGGACTCCTCCTCACGCCTCCACAGTGCCAGGATCACTGCTAACGCACACTGGGCTCTCATTAATCCTGTGCATGCTCCAGCCCCTCCTATGCCCATCCCATCCCATCCAATCTAGCCCAGCCCAAGCAGGAGAAGATCATAGGAGGCTCAGGCCATTGCTCCTTTCTCCTCTGGGTGGGAGTTGGCCACTGTTAGAGTGGCTGGAGTAAGATAATTCCAATGTCAATAATATTATTTTTATTTTTTATTAATATTTGTATATTCCTCTCTTTTTAAAAAAAATATTTTATTTATTTTACTTGGAGGTAGAGTTACAGATAGTGAGAGGGAGAGACAGAGAGAAAGGTCTTCCTCTTGTTGGTTCACTCCCCAAATGGCTGCAAGGGCTGAAGCTGCGCCAATCGAACCAGGAGCCAGGAGCTTCTTCCCGGTCTCCCACATAGGTGCAGGGGCCCAAGGAGTTGGGCCATCTTCTAAGACTTTCGCAGGCCATAGCAGAGAGCTGGATTGGAAGTGGAGCAGTCGGGACTAGAACCGGCATTCATATGGGAAGGCAGTACTGTAGGTGGAGGATTAACCTACTGTACCATGGCGCCAGCCCCTCAGTAGTATTATTAGCACACTAACTGTGTGACCTTGACTGGATGACTTTCATAGCACACACTGCTGTCCCCGTAGCTGTGAAGTAGGTGTGGTATTTCCTTCCACCATAAAATGAGATCATACTCTTAGATGCACTTAGTGATCTCACAAATGCTGACCATGGGTGTTTTCTCTCATATGCATTGATTTTTGTAACTGAAAACAAAAGCCAATTTCTTCCTCCATGCTCCTCTTAATGAGGTAGAATAGAATTGGCACACTCTTTGGGCCATGGGCTGCACTGTAAATATTTTCTGTGTTATAATCCCCATAGGTCTAGGTTAGCTTCCTCCCTTCTCCATTGTTAAAAAAAAAAAAATGTTCTTTGTTCAAGGGCCTTAAGAAGACAAGCTAGGGTGAAGTTTGCAGATTCCTGGCTATCGCTGGAATTGTCTTTCTGTGGGACTCAATAAATTTTACGTTCTGTTTGAATGAACTAAGAAGTATGACTCATAACAGTTTATTTTCCTTTAGTTAGTCCTCTCAACATGCTGCCAAGGCCTGGATTCAGACTTCACACTCTCTCTTGTTTTCCAGGGTGTTATAAACATTAATGGAGTTTGGAACAGCTTCTTTCAGCACCAAATCAAGGCTCTGCAGAGCAGGGCTGGCGGTTTATGGAGGACACCCCTGCATGTTTGTCCACTTTCAGATGGTTTTGGCCTGGATGGGCCCTTAGTGCTTGGGGAAGCATCCACAGGTGGACCTGATAATAAAGCATTCTGTTCGCTGTTCAAAAGATATTACCTTCTTAATTTCCTGACATTTTCTCCTGATGAGCTGTTTATAGACATGATGGAACTTTCTATTGGATTTAAAACTAATACAGTTAATCTTGTTTTACTTTTTTTTTTTTTTAAGATTTATTTATTTATTTGAAAGGCAAAGATAGGAAGGGAGAAAATGAAGGGGAGAGAAAGAAAAGAGAGAGCTTCCATCCACTGTTTCAATCCCCAAATGGCTGCAAAGGCCGGGATTGGGTCAGGCCAAACCAGGTGCCAGAAGCTTCTTCCAGGTCTTCCATGTGGATGCAGGAGTCCAATGACTTGGGCCATCTCCCACTGGTTTCCCAGGCGCATTAGCAGGGAGTTGCATAGGAAGTAGAGCAGTCGAGACTTGAACCTGTGCCCATAGGGGATGCCAGTGCTGCAGGTGGAGGCTTAACCTTTTATACCACAGCACCAGTACCACTTGTTTTGCTTTTTGATAACCAGATGTGATGTTTCAGGAGGCCAAGTTTTTGTGGTATTAGAAACTTCTAACATTTGGTTATAAACAGGGTGTGCCTGGGTGCATTTGATGTTTTGTAAACAGAGTCCTTCTCTCCACTTTTGTTGCCAGGGTCTCCTGACTTCCTGCAGGTAATTTATCTTGCCCTTCTTGGAAACCACTGTTGATCTTGTTTGGTTCCATTCCTTTCCAGTTTAAAAAAAAAAAAAAATCTTGGGCCCGCACTGTGGTGCAGTGGGATAAAGCCCTGGCCTGTAGTGCCCTCATCCCATATAGGCACCAGTTCAAGTCCTGGCTGCTCCACTTCTAATCCAGCTCCCTGCTAATGCACCTGGGAAAGCAGTAGAAGATGGAAGGTGGATCAGAAGTGGAGCAGCCAGGACTAAAAATTGGCTCCTGGGGCCGGTGCAGTGGCACAGTAGGTTAATCCTCCACCTGTGATGCAGGCATCCCATATGGGTGCCGATTCAAGTCCCAGCTGCTCAACTTCCAATCCAGCTCTCTGCTGTGGCCTGGGAAAGCAGTGGAAGACGGCCCAGGTGATGGGGCCCCTGCACCCATGTGGGAGACCGGGAAAAAGCACTCAGCTCCTGGCTTCAGATTGGCGCAGCTCCGGCCGTTGTGGCCATTTGGGGAGTGAACCAACAGAAGGAAGACCTTTCTCTCTGTCTCTCCCTCTCACTGTCTATAACTCTGCCTCTCAAATAAAATAAATAAAATCTTAAAAAAAAAAACAATTGGCCCCTATAGGAGGTGTCAGTGTTGCAGGTAGCAGCTTAACCCGCTATGCTATAACATTAACTCCCTAACTGGGCAACTTTTTGGTCATGCAGAGCCCCCCCTTGCTCCATCTGTAAAGTTGGCCTCTTAAAAGCACCTCCTCTATCGGAATTTGGTTTCAGATTAATTCATCCTGGCTACCTAAGCATCATTCATTATTGTTTATGGTGGGAAAATTTGCGCCTCTACTGATCTGTATTAATGGCTAATATTCTGCCTGGAAAATTTTGTGTTTGACTTGTTCTGTCTGCTTTAATTTTCTCTGCAGGCTTTTGTGGAGGCCCAGAACAAGATTACTGTGCCTTTTCTCGAGCAGTGCCCAGTCCGAGGGTTGTACAGAGAGAGGATGACGGAACTCTATGACTATCCCAAGTACAGCTGCCACTTCAAGAAAGGAAAACGGTATGTGAGCTTGCTGTCACTTAATTTTCTTTTTACTTTCAAGTAGGATACTTTTATTCTTCTATTATTATTATTATTATTATTATTATTATTTAAAGATCTATTTATTTTTAAAGAGTTACAGAGAGAGAGGAAGAGAGAGATTTTCTACCCACTGGTTCACTTCCCAGATGTCTGCAATGGCCAGGGCTTCATCTGGGTCTTCCATGTGGTGGCAGGGTCCCAAGTACTTGGGCCATCTTCCATTGCTTTTCCCAGGCCGTTAACAGGGTGCTGGACCAGAAGTGGAGCAGCTGGGACATGAACTGGCACCCATACGGGATGCCAGCTTCATAGGCAGTGGCTTTACTGGCTATGCCACAATGCTAGCCCCTCAAGTAGGATGCTTTTGGAGATGATAAAATATAAATAACTTCTCAGTTTACAGAATTAATTCATTATTTTAAAAAAGTTAATTTTCTGTAGTTGGATATGAAAATAACGTGTATTGGTCTACTAACTATTATCCAGATTGTTAAAATAATGATTAAGGACGTCAGTACAGATACATTGTATAAAGAAATCTAGTTGATAGGAAATCTTTGTTGTTGTATGACTAGTCATTGTTGAGACTGGATGATTTATGGCAACAGTGATTTGTTTGCCTCTACTACAAATTATCTTTGGCTTATACTACTTGAAAACATTTCATTAAATGCATTTCTTTTCTTCCACCTAAGATGGACTGGGCCAGGAGGTGGCATGTGTGAATTCACCCGCCTTGCTCCTCTCATTTGAATACCCACTTAAACGTATTCTCTCATGTTCAATCTCCTTGGAGCCACCATCACAGGTTGGCTTTAAAATGCCCGAGGCCCTCCCGCTCCGATACACAGATCAGTAGTCTGGGTGTCAAACCCTGCCTGCCACCTGTTTTTAGAAATACAGTCAGTTGGAGCACGGCCATGCCCATCTGTCTGTGTGTTGTGCATGGCTGCCATCGTGCTGTGGCTACGAGGTAAGTGACTGACTGTAGGACCCCCAAGCCTGGAATATTTGCAGTCTTGCAGTCTGCTACCCTGGCATCCTGGCTTGGGAAGTGAACCAGGTTTTCATTATGGGAAATCAACTTTCTTCTTCATGTAGAAGAAAAACTTACTGCTTTATTTGAATCTCGGTGTTAATTTTAGCAAATCAGGCCATGTAAATTACAGTAAATGCCTAACAGAATGATTCTGGTCCTGGACTCTGGTACAAGGAGATGGTGGGACCTTTCACCTAGTTCCTATGCCTGCCCTTGTTAAGACCTGGTTTTAGTGGTATTTTTGTATGTGTTTGGTTTTGGATTTGATTCGGGTTTTATTTATTTTGGTTTTTACTTTTATGTGTTTGATTTTGCTCTACAAATAGAAAACTCCTTGGCTAAATTAAGACCATTTCTGTCTCCTAGGTATTTTTATTTTTACAATACAGGTTTGCAGAACCAGCGAGTATTATACGTGCAGGATTCCTTAGAGAGTGAGGCCAGAGTGTTCCTCGACCCCAACCTCCTGTCGGATGATGGCACAGTGGCTCTGCGAGGTGAGTGCTGCACAGCCAGGCCCCGGGAGGCCCAATGCCCTCTCTTGCAGCTCTGAAGGGAATGCATTGCCTCACCTCTGAAATACCAGGCAGGGTGTGGGCCACACTGTCGAACAGATGCACACGCAGTGTTAGGAGAGCTAATTTTTGCACAATATATTTAGAACACGTGCACAGTCACATTCCTCCTTTCCCTCTCATGGCACACAGCAGCCTTGGAGAATAATTCCTGCTGGACCCAAATTAGCTTCAAAGACTTCTGGGAGCTGCTGGAATCTTGACTACTGTCATTTCCTATAACATCCCCACGACCTATCTGTGAGTCAAAAAAAAAAAAAAAAAAAAAGGTCCTTTCCTGTAAGAAAATGAAGCCATGTGAGTAAGGGCCCAGCTATAAATATAAAACAGGAAAGCATTTCAGAGTTTTAAAATCTAGCTAATTGTCAGTATGTTGGAATTGAAAGTAAAATAAAATGCTGTCTTATAAAAATTGGACAGCTCGGTACCCTGTGCCCTGATGTAGATTTAAAAATTAAATAAATGTGTCTTGCCCGCAGTGGCTATGTGTGCCCTATATAACTCTGCCCCCAAGATAACCTCCTCCACAGGCCACAGGGAAGATGACCCTGGCTTTGTACTGTAAGCCAAGTTCTAGGGCAAGAAGTAGGTTATTCTTCAGTTCTGTTTAATGACTGCGCATTCTAAAAATTATCTCTTGGTACTATCCTAGGTGATCTTAGTGAAGTTGGTACAGTTGTTCCCCTGTAGTATTTTCTGTTGTGTACACAAACACAAGTGTGAGTTTGACCCTCCAGAATTGAGAAATTGAGACACTGAAGTCCTCTGTAATCAATCAGATGGGAGCAACAGGGCCCTCTGGCATCACATTGATACAAAGACCCTCTTTTGCAGGCATTTCCAGCCATGAGTCAGTCCCTCGGTGGTCCCTTGCCCCCTCCCTGAATAGGCTGTGTATGTGAATGATGATCTTTAATCACATCAGTTGGAAGATGCCAGCCAGCTTGATAAGAGTGCTCTTCCGTGAACCTGAGCCTGTAGCTTTAAATGAATTTAATACACGGGTCTGTGGCAGGAACATAGCCTGCACAGGAATTCTTTTGGTTTCCCTACAAATCTACCTTGCAGCCCACCCTGAAGGACTTCATGAAAGCAGGGTACTGCCTCTGGCCCTGATGGGGCATTCCAGTGACTTTTAATGAAATGTTTGCTGTGTACGAGGTCCTGAAGGATGAGGAGGTAAATTGGGCACGGAACCTGGCTGTAAATAGTCATGGAGTTTTCTGAGGATGGTATTGTAGAGAATTACAATATGGAGGAGTACCCTTTCTAATTCTTTGGAGAGTGTGTGTTTTTTTAAAACATATTTCTTTGGTTTTTAAAATGTATTTTAAAGAGAGAGTGAGCTAACCACTACACCAAATGCCCACCCCTACACCTATTTCAAACCAATATGTTTTATTTAAATTATTTCTTAAAACTTTCTAATTATAAATAATCTGCACTGTGGTGCTGTATAGAATAAAAGGAGTGTATCTTTCTTTTCCCCTTCACCTTTCAGACTCCTTTCTGCATTTGTGTACGTATGAACCTAGATATTTCATAACAGTTAGAAGTGATTAGTAAGTACGTTTGAGATTCTGAATTAATTTCCTATGAATTGGAATTCCATGTAAAATAGTAAGAACTTGATAATAATTGAACTATCAACCCCCATGAAGTTTAGCAAACATTTACAGAGAAATCTGGCATCAGCGTCTCTACCAGGAGGTGTGGCACGAGATGCTATACATACTTTGTAATCGTAGAAGCTGATACAGACCATGCAAATATCTGTGAAGAAGCATTCCATAGTGATGAGAACGTTCTGTCGGGGCCCTAAAGAGCTGGACGTGGCACACCCATCTCAGCATGTTGCTTTCCTTGTTCTCAGTCATTTCTGAGTTGTGCACACTATGAACCTTCATTGCAAACTCCCAGTCTTTATTTACCTGGGTCTCTGAGGGCCAGACCCTGTGCACAGTAATTGTGAGTGCCAGTAACACTCTGCATATGAGATTGTAAAGAGTGATTCCAAGTAGTTTGGATTCCATCCCTCAAATGACCTAACGGCTACAATTTAATTCTATTATATGGTATGTGTCATAATTTAGTCATTACCCTAAAAGCAGTTTCCTCTCTCCCCTTATTCCCTTTATAGTCTAAATAAAATATGCCAGAAGTCCCAGATGAGCTCTGCTTTTAGCTGAGCTGTGCCTGTTGAGCTACAAAAATTCAAACATGGAAGCATCTGAGTGGGCATGGAATCCAGTACTTCATCTCACAGAAGAAACTAGAACTAGAGAGCTTAGGAACCTTGTCCCAGGTTGGCAGGGTAATTCCTGTAAGACATGGGCTGGGCCCCCGAGATCCCTCACTCCCAGGTGCCTGTTCCCTCTGTTGTCCCTTTCTGCCTCTGGGTTATCGCAGAGGGCTTTGGCAGCTAGTGTAGTGCACAGCAGGCAAGGCAGGAGTTGTGTCCCTATGTTCTCAATAGACAGTTTTTCTCCTGTGTCTCTTAGGTTATGCATTCAGTGAAGATGGTGAATATTTTGCCTACGGTCTGAGTGCCAGTGGCTCAGACTGGGTGACAATCAAGTTCATGAAAGTTGATGGTGCCAAAGAACTTCCAGATGTGCTTGAAAGAGTTAAGTTCAGCTGTATGGCCTGGACCCACGATGGGAAGGGAATGTTCTACAATTCTTACCCCCAACAGGATGGAAAAAGTGATGGTAAGTGAAGACTTCAGGGGAAGCACTTTTATCCACACAGTGAGGTAGCTAAAAGCTACACAGGTGGTTTGTTCTAGAACCAGGCTTTTCAAAGGGCGCGTACCAGTTAGCTTTGCTGTGTAACAGACCGTACCAAAACTTAGTGACTTAGAATAACAACCATTATGAGCCTGTGGGATGGCTAGGAAGCTCTGGGCTTGGGTGAATGCTAACATGGGGTCAGCTGCAGGCTGGTTGGTTGATGTTGGCTTGGCTCCTTCACCTGTCTGGGGTCTTAGCTGGGACAACCACACTGATGTCTGTGGTCTCTGGTCCTCCGGGAGCTGGCCTGGGCTTGTTCCCATGGCAACTCCATGTGGACAAGGATTCCAGGAGGGTGAGCCTGAAGCAAGCCTTTTTGATGCTAAACTTGCCCTTGACATCACCTTGGCCGCAGTCTGTTGGCCAAAGCAAGTCACAGGGCCAGTCTCTTTCCAGCAGGTAGGGGAATAGATTCAGGGAACTGTGAAAAACTGGGGCCATTATTTTCTTTTTTGAAGGCTGATTTATTTGTTTGAAAGGCAGAGCCACAGAGAGGGGAAGAGACTGAGAGAGACAGAGCCATCTTTCATCTGCTGGTTTGCTCCCCAAAAGACTGCAACAGTCAGGTCTGGACCAGGCCAAAGCCAGGGGCCAGGAACTCTCTCCTGCTGTCTAGAGAGGGTTGCAGGGGCCCAAGTACTTGGATCATCTTCCACTACCTTCCCAGACCTATTAGTGGGAAGATGGACCAGAAGTGGAGCAGTCCAAACTCAAACCAGAACTCCAAAATGGGATGCCAGCCTCGCAAGCAGTGGCTTAACCTGCAGCGCCACAGTGCCAGCCCCATAAAAAAGTTGGGGCTGTAGCACAATCAGTCCTTAACAGACGTGTTGGATCTCCCAGGAGGGATCATGGAGAAGATGGACTTTTTCTTTTTTTTTTAAACAAATCTGCAACCTATTTGATGTAATTATAAAAAACCTATTGAGTAATTATAAAATTTTCCTACTACAGTAATCGCATCTCTTCCTCTGATCAAAATTAGCAGGGTTACCTGTTGGTTGCATTTATCTCGACTCTGTTCTCCTTCTTACTTTCTGGACATACCTTTTTTTGTTCTCATTTGCACAAAGATTCTGTTGTAGTCAAATGGTCCCTCCCTCCTTGCTTTCCGCATTCCCTCCTAATGTTTCCAAACAGGAAGGGCCATGTACCTTGTATCTTGCTGGGATAAGCTGTCAACCTTGTCTTGCCTGTGCTACCCCATGTGCATGGGTGACAGTTTCTTGTTACCTTGGATGGTCTCGCAGGTGGGTTTTACAGTCCCTGTGGTAGAGTCCCTGTGCTTGAGTGCAGAGGCTCCGTGACTCTGGGCCTTGGGCCTGATAAGAAGCACAGCTACTGTTCATGCTGCCCTGAGACCTGCTCTGTGTTATCTGTAGCTATACTTGCTTTCTTTTGTGTTCCACTCCTCCCCTACCTATGGAATTGGGAATAAAGCTGCCATGCTTCTCCTTTCTTTGGCTGTGTTTAGCTTTTGCTGTCTTTTGCTTAGACTGCAACTAGACCTTTTTCTTAATTCAGCACAGGACTACAAGAGGTGGTAACAGCAGGGGGCGCCAGCGCTGCAGCAGGTTAGGCCGTTCCTTGCAGTGCTGGCATCCCATTTGGGCACCAGTTTGGGTCTCAGCTGCCCCATGTCTGATCCAGTTCCCTATTAATGTATCTGGGAAAGCAGCAGAAGATGGCCCATGCATTTGGACCCCTGGGTCCTGGCTTTGGCCTGGCCAAGCCCTGACCACTGTGGCCATTTAGGGAGTGAACCAGTGAATGGGAAATCTGTCTCTCCATGTCTCCTTTTCTCTGTGACTGTGCCTTTCAAATAAATAAATACAGTTTAAAAAAAAAAATAAAGAAGAGACGATGTCTGTGCTGTGCACATTGAGTTAGCTGTGCTAGGAGTGTCCCAGAGTTTGAAAATGTGGGTTGTTTTGAAGTTCCTGGGAGGTCAAGTGAAGTGTAACTGGGCACTGCTTGTGAAAGAGCAGTGTTATTATGTTACCTTGTGAAAAGCAAGAGTTGTTACTTACTTTCATCTTTTAGTGACAAACATAGTCATTAATGGTTGTGATTAATTTAAGAAAGCCAGCGTCTTCTCCCAGCTGCAGTTTTGCCGGGTGAGAGGCTGTGGGGAGACGGGGTCCTTCCAAATGAAGCTGAACTATTCATAGCATAGACTAGTGTTCTTAGAAAACTCCATGAAAATCATTTAAGTACCAGCAAGCTTTTTTTTTTTTTTTCCGTTATGCCACTATCTTACTGTGTTTTTCCTTCCTTGCCCTGACACCTTGGTCCATCTCCATAAAGAAATAAAAATGCAGTTTCATTCTAGTCTCCAAAACCAGTGAGTACGTATGAATTACTTGCAGGATCATATCCAACTGGGTACTTCACTTTTGATTAAAAAGTAAACTTTATATTTTAGAGCAGTGTTGTGTTTACAGCACAACTGAGAGGAAGATCTAGAGGTTTCCATAATCCCTGCCCCTATACATGCATAGCCCCTGCCATTGTCAACTCCAGCACCAGAACCGCACTTTGTTATAATTAAGGAGTCCATTAAGGAGTCCACATGGACACATCACTATCACCCGACATCCATAGTTTCCACTAGGGGTTTGTTCTTCCTGTTGCACATTCAGTGGATTGGGACATGCATCTAGCACTGTAGTATCTTACAGAGTAGCCTCAGTGCCCTAAAAATGCCCTGTGCTCCATCCATTCATCCCTCCTGCTCCTGACAACCACTGGTCATTTTTTCCTGTCTCCATCATTTTGCCTTTTCTAGAATGTCCTGCCTGGTTTGGAATTATGCAGTTGAACTTTAAGAGTTCATTGTGAGGCTGACATTATGGAGTAGCTGCTTAAGCTGCCACCAGTGATGCCCGCATCCCTGGTTAGTGCCTGTTCAGTCCTAGCTGCTCCACTTCTGGTGCAGTCCCTGCTAGCTACCTGGGAAGGCGTTGGATGATAGCCCACTTGCCACCCGTGTTGGAGACCAGGATGGAGGTCCTGGCTGCTGGCTTCTCCCTGGACCAGCCCTAGTTGTTAAGGCCATTTGGGAAATGGGAGATGCTCTCTCCATCTTTCCTCTCTGTCACTCTGCCTTTCAACTAAATCAGTCTTTTTTTTTTTTTTTTAAGAGTTCTTTGTCTGTTTTTGGTGGCAGTCCTCCATCAGATACATCTCTGCAGATATCTTCTCCCAGTCTGGCTTGTCTTATGTGCTTCTGATAATGTCATTTTTTTGCGCAGGAGTTTAAAAGTCTGGCCTCGCTTATCCATTATTTCTTTTGTTATATCTAAAAACTCATCACTGTACCTGTGATCATCTAGATTTTCTTAGGTTATTGTCTAGGAGTTTTACAATAAATGTTTTACATTTTATGAGTCTGTGATCCATTTGAGTAGCTTTTGAGAAGGGTATAAGATCTTTTTTACATTGGGATGTCCAGCTTAGCACCATTTGTTGAAAAGACTGTCTTTCCATCATTGCATTGCCTTGGTGACCGTATCCTTGTGGATCTGCTCTGGGCTCTGTTTTCTGTTGCATTGATCTGTTCCTGTATTCTTTTGACAGTACCACACTGTCTTGGATATGTAGCCCCATAGTAACAGTGTCAGGTAGTGTCAGTCCTCTGACTTTGTTCTCCTCCTTCAGTATTGTGCAGGTTGTTGTGGGTATTTTTGCCTCTCCATATGCACCTTAGAAACAGTTTATTGATATACACAAGATAACTTGTAGGGGTTTCGACTGGGACTGTACTGGATCTATAGATCAAGTTGGGAAGAACTGACAATAGTAAGTCTTCCTATCCACAAACATGGACTTTCTCCATCTATTTCATGGGTTTTTTTATTTCATCAGAATTTTGTAGTTTTGCTCATAAAGATCATGTAAATGTTTTGTTAGATTTATACCTGAATGCTAATGTATTGTGTTTTTAATTTCAAATTCTACTTGTTCATTGCTGGTCTGTAACAAAGCAGTTGACTTCTGTATATTAACCTTGTATCCTGCCACCAGGTACTTTATTTTGAAAATGTTCCTAGCGTTGTACAATTTGAGTGGAATAGATTTTCTTAAAATTGCCAACCGCATTTCAGGATACATTTTTAACTCCTTCAGGCACAGAGACATCCACCAATCTCCACCAAAAGCTCTACTACCATGTCTTGGGGACCGATCAGGCAGAAGATATTTTGTGTGCTGAGTTTCCTGATGAGCCTAAATGGATGGGTGGCGCTGAGGTACCGTACAACTGTGAAATCTTACCCTCAAAGACCTATCTCGTATGAATAGTCTTATCCTTGAGGATTTTGTAGATGGTGGAAGCCCGCCCTGTAAGTGAATATTCTTTTGTTAAAATTACTGGTATTTAGGTAGTTTTCCTTCTTATAAATACTTTAGACATTGCTTCAGGGGTCCTGACTGGAACCCACCTCTGTTGAAACAATGTGTCTTTGGAGTTACTAGCTCAGGTTTTGTTCTGTTTCTTGAGATCATCTGTGATGAAGCTTAGAGGTGTGTAGAATAAGAATGTGCTGTGCTAGTTCATTCCTGTGTACTGAGGAGTATTTTTTGTTAAAGAGAACCCTTCTGACTGTTTTAACATGGGCGGGATATTATCTCATTTTTAGTGCAGATAAGAAATCAGCTGCAAACTTTTTAGCTCATTACCTCACCTCTTCTCTCAAAGACAATTCAAACTTTGGTAGGAAAGAGGTATTTTAACTTTTAGCTTCTGCTCAGGGTCGGTTTCATTGAGGAACACAATAGGAATGATGGTATTTTATCTGTACACATTGATATACTGTATTCCAAATTGTCTTTTTGTATTTTTATTTTGTTTTCCTAAATTAGGAATCCATGAACTATTGCCTGTCAACCTACTGTGACCTGCTGCCTATTTTTTTAAACATTTATTTATTTATTTATTTATATACTTGAAAGGCAGAGTAACAGAGAAGGAGAGACAGAGAGAGAGAGAGAGAGAGAGAGAGAGAGAGAGAGATCTTCTATCCACTGGTTCACTCTGCAAATGACCACCATGACTGGAGCTGGTCCAGGCCAAAGGCGGGTGAACTCCACCCATGGAGGTGATGGGGGCCCATGTATTTGCACCACCATCATCTGCTGCTTTCACAGGCACATAGAAGCCGTGCAGCCAGGACTCAAATCTGCACCCTGATAGGGGATGCTGGCATCTCAGGCAGCAGCTTAGCTCCCTATGCCACAATGCCAGTCTCCGTTTTTGTAAATAAAGTTTTATTGAAAGACAGCCACACCCAGTTTTCCTGTGATTGCTTGCAAGCTCTAGCAGCAGGGGTAAGGGGTTGCCATGGAAAGCTGAAAACACTTAGCATCTGGACCTTTACCGAAAAAGTTTACCAGATCTTCATGGAATGTGTTGAAAGTTAATTACTAGCACTTTTATTTTATTGCCTTAAAATGTACCCCCTTTTAGTGTTTTTTTTTTTTCATCTAACTCCCTACCCTGCCAGCTTTTTGTGCATAGTTGTTATTGTCATTTTTTGACAGATTTATTTTTAATGGTTTCTTGGATGATCTGGATCAAGTCTCTGGTTTCCAGCTTCAGCTCCTGGCCCAGAGCCATTGTGGGCATTTGGGGAATGAACAAGCAGATAGGAACTGACTTTCCGCCACCGCCCTACCCTTTGTCTCTCTCTCTCCCTTTCTGCCTCTCAAATAAATAAATAGAAAAGAAATGCCAGAAATTCGATATATTTTGGCGTATAGGTGTAAAGTACAACAATGACAGCTTAACACATGTCACTTTAGTTTCTCAGATCGTGGTTAGTGTTTGGGAAGACATCTAGCTTTTTCATTCTGTTTGTTACTTTTCTTTAAATTGTAAAACATGTACGTTATAAAGCCGATGACTTTAACGTTTTTAGGTGAACAATTCAGTGGCATTAAGTACACCACTGTGTCTTGTGGCCACCACCACCTTCTGTCTCCAGAACTCTTTACAGCTTGCAAAACTGAAATTCTGTACCCAGCGAAAACTCAATCCCCATTTCCCCTTCTGCCCCAACCCCCAAACCCTGGCTAGCGGCGTCTTCTCTGTCTGTGTTTGGCTACGCTGAGTAGCTCACGTAATCATGTCATCATTCAGTGTTTGTCTTTTGTGACTGGCTTACGCCACTTAAGGCCCTCGGGGTTTTACCCGCATAGGCACATATGGTAGAACTTCCTTCATCTTTAAGTGGAATGCTATCCCATGTGCATAGATGCTGCCTTTCACTTATCCTTTTGTCCATGGACACTGGGTTGCCTTCCATGGCATGAGTTGAGTAATGCTGCTATACACAGATCAGGTTTGCAGATAGAACACAGACATGTGTATTTGTTTATCATTTATATAATTACTTTTACTAGCCAGATAAAAAGAAAAGTAGACTTACATGATTCAAGTGATTCTTATATCATTTCCTCAGGAGATGCGTGCTCTATGTAACTTGTCTAATATCATGTTTACCACACTTTGAGAAGAAGATGATCTTTGAATGCATAAACACAATAAAATACTTGCTAGGATGAATAAACTTTCAAGTCTGTGGTTAGAACCACCTGCCAGGTGCCTTATGCCCCACAGCCTGTCTCACCTTAGCCGCTGTTTGCTCCGCTTCCTTGGTCAAAATGATAGTGGTCACTGGTGCTGTGGTTCAATTGGCTGATCCTCTGCCTGTGGCACCGGCACCCCGTGTTCTAGTCCCAGTTGGGACTCTGGGTACTACTAGTCCCGGTTGCTCCTCTTCCAGTCCAGCTCTCTGCTGTGGCCCGGGAGGGCAGCAGAGGATGGCCCAAGTGCTTGGGTCCCTGCACCCGCATGGGAGACCCGGAGGAAGTACCCAGGTCCTGGCTTCGGATTGGTGCAGCGTGCCGGCTGTGGCGGCCATTAGGGGAGTGAACCAACGGCAAAGGAAGACCTTTCTCTCTGTCTCTCACTGTCTATATAACTCTCTCTCTGTCTCTCTCTCTCTCACTGTAACTCTGCCTGGCAAAAAATAAAAAAAAATGATAGTGGTCACATACACACATTAGCAACTACTCTTTATTTATTTTTTTAAAAGCTTTTATTTAATGAATGCAAATTTTATAGGTACATTGTTAGAAATACAGTGGTTTTTCCCAGCCTTCCACCCCTCTTCCCATCCCACCTCCTACTCCCTCTCCCATCCCATTCTTCATTATGATTCATTTTTAATTTAACTTTATATACAGAAGACCTACTCTATATTAAGTAAAGATTTCAACAGTTTGTACCCCCCCCCACACACACACATACACACAACAAATAAAGTACTGTTTGAGAACAAGTTCTGCAGTTAAATCTCATAGTACAACTCATTAAGGTCCTACATGGGGAGTAGGTGCACAGTGACTTCTGTTGTTAATTTAACAATTAACACTCTTATTTATGATGTCAGTGATCATCTGAGGTTCTTGCCATGAGCTGCCAAGGCTATGGAAGCCTTTTGTGACCATAAACTCCATCAGTATTTGGACAAGGCCATAAGCAAAGTAGAAGTTCTCTCCTCCTACAGAGAAAAGTACATCTTTCTTTGGTAGCCCCTTCTTTCCACTGGGGTCTCACTCAAAAAATCCCTCATGTAGGATATTTTTTGCCACAGTGTCTGGCTTTCCATGCCTGAAATGCTCTCATGAGCTTTTCAGCCACATCTGAATGCCTTAAAGTCTGATTCTGAGGCCAGAGTGTAACAACTCTTTAAAAGATTGCAGGGGTGAGGGTGTGGCCTCACTATTAAGACTGTGGTTGGGATACCTGCATCCCTTATTGGAGTGCCTGGGTTGAAGTCTAGCTTAGCTTCCATTTTCAGCTTCCTGCTAACGTCCATCCTGGGAGGCAGCAGGTGGTTGGGACCAAGTAACTGGGGTCCTGCCACCCACATGGGAGATCTGGGTTGGGTTCAGCCTGGTCCAGCCCTGGCCAGTGTGAACATCTGGGGGAGAAAATGAGCTGATGGGAGCCCTCTCTGCATCTCTTTGTCTCTCAAATTAATAAAATACATATTTTTTTAAAAATAGAAAAATATAAAAAAGGTTTAGGGGCTGCCAATGTGGCATGGTGAATTAAGCCACCACTTGCAGTGGCCTCACATATTATAGTACCTGTTCGAGTCCTGGCTGCTTTGCTTCCTCTCCGGGTCCCTGCTAATGTGCCTGTTGAGGCAGCAGAAGATGACCCAAGTATTTGCGTTCCTGCCACTCATGTAGAAAACCCAGATGGCGTTCTTGGTACCTGGCTTTGGCTTAGCTTAGATTTGGCCATTTTTGGCTATTTTGAAGATTGATATCTCTTTCTCTATCTCCCCCCTCCCCATTTCTCTGTCTCTCTCACTCTGCGTTTCAAATACATTTTAAAAATGAATATGTTTTAAAATGTTTTTAAAGAAAAGCATGGTAGTAATTGAAGGGATGCATCTATATTACACAAAGTGACATATCAAATCTTTTTTTTATGAGAAGAAAAAACTAAAGGAACACATAAAATATAAAATGAGTCCTAAGGAAGTTGGTGTAGCATCAGGGCCCTCATTAGTGAATGATGTGGAGGAAGTCTGTAGGAATTCCTACAAACTAGTGGCCTCACTAAACACAGACTGTGTAGACTTCCCCTAAGCTGCATTCCAGCTGCCTGGGTGGTCCTGTTATACCTCTGTCACCCTACTGATTGCAGGGTGGATGGGCAGGCCTGGCTTGCTGGATGAATTTCCCTTCCTTCCTTACCCCTCTCTTTGTGATCTTTCTGAGCAAAGAGGTTCAGTCTTGCTCCTGTGGGAGTGTTGTTTGTCACTTAAGCATAGGTTCTGTACTACTGCAGATATGAACTTGATGGTTCTGTTACAAGTCATCTATGCAGAAAAATCTCGATCATGAAGAAAACCCTTAAAGCAGGAGGTTCTTGTGCTCTTCAGAGAAGCAGGGTAAACCCAGGAGTCTACAGAGCTGGTGCACTGCAGGCCTGGCTGGGCTGGGAGCACCCCTGTGTGGTGTGTAAATGGGCATCCCAGGACCTTCACAGGGAATGAAGCAAACAGGTTCCTAACAGTTTAGAGACCTACATCTTAGAGAAAAGCAGCAGTCCTCTTTATTTTTATTTTTAAAATATTTATTTATTTATTTGAAAGGCAGAGTTACAGAGAGGCAGAGGCAGAGGCACAGAGAGAGAGAGAGAGGTCTTCTATCCACTGGTTCACTCCCC